GTCCAGTGCCAGGGGTCAAGGCCACGCACGAGTAGGGGCTGAATGAAGTGTGCTTCAGCAGAGTTTCAGGCTGAAGCCCTGCGGCAATTCCTTTAGAAAGCATCTCAAATCATGTTTACTAGCTCTGCCCTAGAAGTCAAGGACTTGAGAGGCTCAGGGCCCCTACCTTAGCCAGCTCTGCCCCGGGTCTCTGCTGCGCTGTGGTGCAGGGGAGAGAGAATGGACCAGGAGTCAGGACCCTGAGAGGTTCTAGCTACCTCAAATGGGGGCAAAGTGATCTTGGGGAAAATCTCTTCACCTCTTCTTTGCTTAATTTCCCCATTTTGAATGATGGGTCAGATTACATAACACTTTAAGGACCTGCTGTCTAGAAAATTCTGATACTTTTCGGGGCGAGGTACCTGATAGGATGGGGTTTGAGAGATGGCAGAAAGGCGCAACCCCCTCACACCCTCCTCCCCAATTTTCTCTGCAGGGGGCACGATAGGGGTTGGGGACTCCCTTCTGCAGGACCTCCTTGGTCAGCTTCCAGGCCCGGCCCCCAGAAGTGTGGCTCCGGTTGGAGGGCGTCTTTGCTGTGGAGTTGGGGAGTTTCTTCCTAGAACAGGTAATAGACTTTTGAGGGAACAGGATGACTACACAGGAGTGACCGCCATGTTTTGAGTATCTGCTGAGTATCATGCATCGTGCTGGGCAATTACCTTATTGCTTATCTTCACAACCGCCTTTGGAGAGATGTTTCTTCCACTCTAAAGGTGAGCACATGGGGACTCAGAGTGGTTAGGTGACCTGCTGTCTTAGGAAAGGTTAACTGTATCTCTCTCCATCTCCCCCTCAAAACAAAGGTGTATTGTTTAAAGTGGCACTTTTCCAAAGAAATGAAATACAAAGTCACTGAGTCTTAGTGAGCAGTGTCCTGGGTCTGAGCACCTCTGAGGTCGCAGCTGGTGTGACTTCCCCTCTAGAGGGGTACTTGTGGGGCTGGCAAAAGGTTGGAGATCTGGCCAGATGCCTCTCAGGGAGCACTGAGTCCTTGTTTTCTGGGATTCTAGGGTTTCAGCCTTGTACATACTTCCAGAAAAGAATTACCCTCCGCTTTATTAAACTTGTCTGCACTTAGGCAAAGTGGGCTGTTTATCCTCTGTAGGGTTTTTCTTTAAAGGAGGGGGAGCATGAGCATGTGCAGAAATCCATCACCTTGCTTTCCAGTTTCCAGGCAACCGTGCAGGATTACAAGTCACATGATATCCCTGCTGCCAGGGAGAAGGAGAAAATGGAAAACTGCTATCTTGAGAAAGGGGCTCGGTATAAGCAGAGGACTTTGGATTCTCCTCCAGAAATATTATCAACAAGTAGTCAAAGACCTGAAGGCTCTGGAGGGATCCTGGCTTCTCAGCCCTTGGCCCAGCCTCCTGCTGGATGGGCAATGTACCACCAGGTGTAAAACGGTTGTGGGGAGTTAGATGGAGGGGGAGTCGTTGGCCCAAGGTTAGCAGCACCTGCTCTGGAAAACAGGCTCTCAGAGGGGTCGTTAGTGAGAAGATCTAACCCCAGCTAGGCCTTGCTCCTGAATCCTCATCTCCTGTCCCTGCTGCCGCCCCGGGGATGATGAGGGGAGCTGAGTCTGTGATGATTAGGGCTGCTGGGGGCGGTGAAGGGTCAGCGGGGACAGCTGGGAGAGAGAGAAAACCACCCATGGAGACCAAGTTTCCACTTCCTTTTTTAAAGCCTCCTCTTTCTGATCATTGTTTATTTTGATTTCGGATGTTTTGATTTTTTTGATCTCCCCTCCCCCAACATGTCTCTGTGTATGCACATACACACACACTCGCTGCTGCTGTTTATATTATAGACGCTTCTATGGCAATCCATCCCCTTCTGTATACACTTTTTATTCCTGTAATAACACCCTCTATGGCCCGGAGACTCCCCGGAACCCAGGGACAGCTTTGCTTCTGGCCCTCCTGAGGTGGCTGAAGGGGGTGGGCGTGCCCTTGGCCATGGGTCCCACATTCCAGCATTGTGGATGGCCAGGCTCTGAGATCAAGCAGACCTGAAGTGGACTGGCTTCCAGTGTCCTCACATCCTGCAGTGTCCTGAGGCAAAGATGAGTCATCCAGCCACACGCTCACTGGTTCACTGGTCTTCCCAGTTTGCCCCGAGGTGGCTGTCTATCACAGCCCGGACTGCTGGTTTTACCCCAGCCTGGCCACCTGGGGAGGTGAACCCACAGTGCCACCTGGCACATCACGTACAGGCAGGTGTCAGAGAGGGAGATGCTGCCCGCCTTGGCACCCAGGCGCTGACAAGGACGCTAGTCCCTTGTCACTATCCCATGGGCTGGGCGTGGGGGTTCAGGGCCGGGACTCTGCTGCTTGCCCTTCTCCAGCACAGCATGGAAGGTGCAGCTTCTTTTGTCCTATTCTTCTTGCATGTTTCAAAGTTCTGAAGGCCTAATGACAGGTCAGCGATACCTTCGCATTGGAAAGGGTTTGTCATCCTTTAAGTTCAACAAGAAAATAAATAAAGGAAAAGTGAGTAGAGTTGGAGAGCCAAAGCCTCACACAGCTCCAATGGTGCTTGGCTCTTCCTTTCATTTCTTGAACAAACTTGGTTTACACCATTGTTTCTTAGGAAGAGAAAAAGTTAATTATTAGCTTGTCGTATGATGGCTCATTCTGTAACAATGATGAGTAGATGAATAATGTTCTGTGTGACATTTCTCGTTACATTAAGTGAGGTTCGCCTCGTAAACATTGGGGGAATGTGGACAGGAATTCAAAGGTGACAGTGGGGTGAGGAGTTTTCAATACATTAAAACTGTGGGTGGAAGGGGAAAAGACATTCCATGTCTGTTTAATATGTAACATATGGGAGGATGGGGGATGCTTGCAAGAGAGTGTTGGGTATGCGATGTTACAGAAGGATGGTGGATGTGTGCACAAAGAGGGTTCTGATGGCCAGGTTGGGAAGTTGGGGGTAAATCTTATGTGAATTGAGGCATGCTTCCTAACAAGGTGTCAGATCCCATCTTAAGCACTCAGGCCTGTGCTGGCAGATTCACACCCCTATTCACACATCCACAAAAGCATGCACTGTGGGCTTAATTCACACTCAGATACATGCGTGCACAAGCATGCACATGCCTTCTAAGTCCAGACCCGCATTAGCTCTGACTTAGCAACTGACATTTGGCCAGTCGATCACAAGATGTCCTTACAAGATCTTCCTAGCCCACACTCCTAGGAAAACTTGAATAGAAGTGCAAAAGTGTTTGATGATAGAAAAAAAAGAAATCTGCTTGCTTGCAGTTCTTGCGTTGGCCAGAATGCTACAATAAACTGTTGCTTTCCAGAGCTGGGGAGGATGAAGGCAGGAGCGGGGGCGGCGGGGGGCGGGGAGCTGGAGCAAAGAGGCCAGAAAACTTGAAAGACAGAATCAGAACTCAGGCTAAGAACGCCCCTGGGGCGAGGCGGGGGGCGGGGGGGGGGCCTGGCAGGGGGCGAAGGAGGGCTAGGGAAGGGTTACCGCGGGAGCTAAGCGTGCGGCAGGGGCGGGCCCGGCCCGGCCTCGGCGGGCGTCCGGCGCTGTCGCTTTAAGGCGGGCGGCGCGGGCCGGCCGAGAGCAGCTGTGATTGGCGCGGCGGGATCACTGGCTCCCCAAGCCGGGCCCGGGGGAGTCGGCTGGAGCCCGCTGCGCTTTGATAAGGTCCTGGCAACTCAGTAACAACCCGAAAGCTTGGAAATAAAAATAACCCCTCATAGCAATGGTTTTCGTGACTGCCCGGCGTCCGAGGAGCCTGTGTCTCCGGCCGAAATCCCTGCTGTAAAAGGTAGAGATTCAGGCGCGGATCCTGCAGAGCTGATTCAAAGAAAGCCCCCCTGGGACAGGGGGCGAGGTCACTCCAAGCCGCATTCCGGGCGCCGGGGAAAGGAGGGGGTCCGGCCCTACGGAGACCGGCTCGGGAGAGGTAGTGCGAGCCGCCGGACGGCCCCCAGGAGGGGCGGTGGGGCACCGGGGGTGGCCCGGGGCGCGGCCGGCGCGTACCTCCCTTTCAGGACCGTGCGCTCGGCTCGCGCCTTTGAAGTGCACAGTTAAATCCACAGCGCAGTTTTTGTTGGAAGCGCCCGGAGGACATTTGGTGCGCGGAGTGACTGCTGGAAACAGGACCTGTGTTGAAAGCCGGGCCGGGCGGGGGCCGCAGGGGCCGGGGGCGGCCGCGGCGGGGGCGGAGGCCCACTCCGATCTTTTGCATAAAAGGGGCGGCGGGGAGCGCCGCTTCCCCTCCCTCGCTGGTGGATCTCGCTCTAATCCCGGATTGTTTCCCCACACTCCCTTCCCCTGCCGCGCGACTCCCCATGTTCCCCGACGCCGGGACCGGCCCGGGGGGGCCCGGGGCTGTTGCGAGCCGATCCGGGGGCTGGGGCCGGGGCCCTGCCCGGGGCGCCTGCGAGGTCTCGCCGTGGAGCGCGCGCGCCGATTTATGGTGAGTGCGAAGGCAGGGGCGGCAGGGCGGCCCGTGCGCTTTGATGTGCCGGGCGGCCCTTTGAAGTTGGCAGGCCGGCTATTTCGGGGCGCGCTCCGGGCGGCCGCATTGGAGAGCGGCGGGCCGGGCGCCCGGCCCTCCTGGGGGCTTGGCCCGGCTGCCCCAAGGGCCCTGCGCATGAGCCCCCTCCCCAGTAGGGTGGCGGGGGCCCTAAGGGAGAGACTTCTGCAAGTGGCGGCTGCGGCGGGGGCGGGATGCCCCCCGGAGGAGCGCATCGTTGTTGTAGTTATGGGATGTGAGTCGGGTTGTGAGTGTGCACGGCTTTGGGAGGTGGGATGAAAGGGTGGCGGCGCCCCCCACTTGCCCTCCCCTCCGCCTCCTCCCTCCGCCTTTCCCCCCGCCCCCCCCTCCTCTTCTCCCGCCTCTCTCCCCTCTCCCCTCCCTACCACTGGTCCGCGCTTAGGGGCCCCGAGCGCTGGCCGAGGCTCAGTCTGCGAGCTGAAGCGGCCCGAGCCCGGGGCGCCCGCGTTCCCTGCGTCCCTCCTCCCCGCCCGGGCCCTGCGCCCCCGGCCGCTCCGGCCCCTTTTGCGGAGAGGGAGAGACTCCGCGCGTCGCCATTTCTGGATCAGGCTGCTGCTTTTCGTGCTTTTTCTGCGGGCGCTTCTGCGAGCGGCGGCGCCGGGGACCGACCCGCGTTGGGGTCGGGGTGTTGCGAGCGCTTCCCGGGGCTTCGGCTCCGCGCTCCACGGCTCTGGACGCGTTCGGTTGGATTCGGGCCGGGGGGCGGGCCGGGGGGCTCGGCGGAGATGAGAACCTCGGGACGCCTTCGTCTTCCAGGTAACGGGGCCGCTCCATCCCTCCTCCGCTGGGGTAACGCGACGCTACCGCCGGCCCCGCCACTCTGCCCGCAGTTGCCCAGCTTGGCGGCCTGAGGCCCCGGGCGGGGACCGCACGCACCCACCCCTGGGCCGAAGTTTCGGCCCCGCGTTCGGGGTCGTGCCCCGTTCTCCCTCCCGCCTAGTCCTCCGGCCCCGTGCCCTTCTTAGCTTGATCCTACCCGTGCTGGGGAAAGCGGCTTGTTTATTGGTTAGACTTTTCTTTTGAAAAGAAGAGACAGGCTTGATCGAGGTCAGTAGAGTTCGGGATTCTTGGCATAGGCAGTGGTAGCGTGAGACGGTTTCTGATCCGGTTTTGTAGGGTTCGCGGCTCCGGGAGGTGGCTTGGGGAGGGGGGAGATGGGTGTTGCGTCCCGCGGCTTCTCTGCTCTCTCGCAAAGTTTGAAGATCAAAGTTGTTGTCTGAGTGAGTTGATTTTTGGTTTAGGGGAGCGGGGAAGACAGAGGTGTAGACTGAGTCTTACTCCCGCCAAGAGGCAGGAGGCGGGGGCGCAGGAACGTTTACAGCTCGGGGGTGGGGGGTCGTTTTCCAGCTAGGAGTCCGGGAGCCCATTCCGCCCCGTGCTGGGCGGGCCTCTTTCTCGGTCGAAGATCTGAATTTTTAAGGAGTAGGAAGGGGGAGCGCAGAGGGGAGGGGTGGGTGGGGGGAATGGGAACCAGATGCCGGGGAAGGGCACGTTTGGAGCTCGAGTTATCTATGAGGAGAGCCGAGTGGGGAAATTTACCGAAATTGGTTTCACCTGCACACAGCCCTGCGGCTCCGAGTGCGTGTGTTTGGAGTCGATGCTGGGGGGGCGGGGGGCGGGTAGAGGGAGGAGGGAGCGGAGCTGGGAGGCGCGGGCTTGGCTGCCCTGTGTGCTCCCGGGCGAATGGGTTTTTGGAAGGTTGTGTCTCACACCTCGCATGCCCCTTCTTTGCCCCCACCTCCCTTCTCACCTTCTCCGCCCCTTCCTCAACTAACCCCCTCCTCTGCCCCCACCCCCGCAAGTGTGCAGGGAGCTCAGATTTCGCCTTTGAAAAAGCGTCTGATACCTTAGATGAGCACCTCGCAGATAGCTGGGTTGCTTGATTTGAATTCGAGGAGTTGAAAAGCCTGTTTACTTTCTTGCTTTGATGTTGGGTAGATCTGGTTTTGATTAGATCAATACCCTTTTCTCTCTCTACCTCCCCCCTTCCTTTTCTTTCCAGAAAGGAGGCTCAGATGAGCGAGCCCCTGCTGACTTGAGAGAGTAAGAGAGACCACGCTGATTGCTGAGAGGAACTGGAAGCAGAAAAAAATTCCCAAACTCAGTGAGAAGAACTCGCTCACCATGAGTAGCAGTGCTGTGTTGGTGACTCGCCTGCCAGACCCCAGCAGCAGCTTCCGAGAGGATGCCCCCCGGCCCCCGGTTCCGGGAGAAGAAGGGGAGACCCCACCTTGCCAGGCTGGGGTTGGAAAGGGCCAGGTCACAAAACCCATGCCTGTCTCCTCCAACACCAGGCGGAATGAGGATGGGTTGGGGGAGCCTGAGGGACGGGCATCTCCTGATTCCCCTCTGACCAGGTGGACCAAGTCCTTGCACTCCTTGTTGGGCGATCAAGATGGTGCTTATCTCTTCCGGACTTTCCTGGAGAGGGAGAAATGCGTGGATACTTTAGACTTCTGGTTTGCCTGCAACGGATTCAGGCAGATGAACCTGAAGGATACCAAAACTTTGCGAGTCGCCAAAGCAATCTACAAAAGGTACATTGAGAACAACAGCATTGTCTCCAAGCAACTGAAACCTGCCACCAAGACCTACATAAGAGATGGCATCAAGAAGCAACAGATTGATTCCATCATGTTTGACCAGGCACAGACTGAGATCCAGTCGGTGATGGAGGAAAATGCCTACCAGATGTTTTTGACTTCTGATATATACCTCGAATATGTGAGGAGTGGGGGAGAAAACACTGCTTACATGACTAATGGGGGACTAGGGAGCCTAAAGGTCGTGTGTGGCTATCTCCCCACCTTGAATGAAGAAGAGGAGTGGACTTGTGCTGACTTCAAGTGCAAACTTTCACCCACTGTGGTTGGCTTGTCCAGTAAAACTCTGAGGGCTACAGCGAATGTGAGGTCGACGGAAACTGTTGAAAATGGATACAGGTAAGAGTGGCTGGGGGTGTAGGGGTGGGTGGTGGATGATGCAGACTTTGTGAATGTTTTGAGTTACAGTAGGGTGGGTGGGTGGGTGGATGTGCTGCAGAAGCTGACAAAGGTCTGTTGAGAGCCAGGACCACTGGCCGTAAACACTTTGATCTTGCTTTTTGTTGTTTAACGGGGTGGGGGTGGGAGTGTTACACACATATCTAAATGCCTGAAGTCTTGCAGTGCTAAATTCAAACACGGGCTAGCAGTATTCATTAAGGCAGGTTACTTAGTCTTCTGGGCCAGTCTTCCAAAGGGTTGAGAAAGAGAGAGAGGGGAGAGAGAACAGCAGCTTTTGATCCCGCTGAGTCACCAAATACAGTAAGCACCGGTTCTGGAAGGGGTCATTCACCACTAATCAGTAGAGAGTGGAATTAATGTGGCTAAGGAGGCAGCTGGGTTGTGGTGGAGACACAGGAAATAAAGTGTGTACCCATTGGATGTGGGGGTAAGTGGGATCTTTTGAACTTTTATGTGAAGATAAGAGCCAGCAATTGGGCCTTGTGGGTCTCTGTAGAATTAGCTATTTACCCAGTAAGACACCCTCCTTATTTACAGGGAAGGCCCTGGGACTTTTCCAAATAAAGGACCCTTAGCTCTAGAGTCTGCTGGTATATGAATCTAGGTTTTACCTGTTTGCAGCCTCAGGGGTAGACCTCAGTTGATTATTTTGTTACTTTGTGCTGAAGAAGCAGAGGTCTTGGCCAGAGAAGAGGGGCCCTGGAGTGCTTTCTCTTTCTGAGGCTTCAGAGACAAACAGCCCTTTACAGAATGGCCAAGTCTTAAGATTCGTGACCTTTGGAGGCAACTTCAGACCTCCCGTGAACATGAATTTTCCTCTTTCTCTCCCTTTCTCTCCTTTTGAATATTGAAAAAGAGAATGAGTCTCTTAACTCTAGGTTGTTGCCCACAGCCTGCCAGGGAAGGAGGTGGGCGCTTGATTGCTATCTCAATGGCTTATCTTGCTAGCCCTGGTATATTTCTCTGTGTGTTAAAAGACCCGGGCTGCCTCCTTGGAGGTTGCACCTTGTCTGCAGGGGAGGGCCTCCGGTGTTCAGGAGCAGGAGGAGGGAGGGCCAGGGCCAGGGCCAGGGCCAGGGCCAGGGCCGCCAGGTCTGAATCTTCGAGGGGATGGCTGGGACTCTTCCCAGGAAGGGAAGGGCTTGTTCTCCAACCACCAGGGGGCGCTCTTATATTCTCAGGAGCGGTTCACAGACAACTGGTATACACCTAACTGGAACCGATTGGCTTTTGCAAGGAAGCATAGGATCACCTGAAGGAGTTGTTTCGGCATCTTGACGCTTATGGTTTCATGTTGTTTTTGATGAAGATACTGGATCTGGCCTCTGACTGGGCAGTCACGGGGCACCCGCTGCTTCTGCCCCATTCCATCATGCGAACATTAGAGTAAACGCTGTTGGCCTCATTGCTCTCCCGTTTGGCAGCGGTAGCTGAGACTACTTAACGCCTGTGGTAAAGCTGCTGCTTCCCTTGGGGCCTTCTAACGGTGGGGCTTCTGTATCAGGACCCAGAGTGTCATCTTTGTAAATAGCACCCTCTGGTTTTGGATGCCAACAGTAAGAAAGCGCAGGAGGGCAGGATTGTGCTGTGGCCCCTCCCCTTCATGGATGGGCTTTAGACCCAGCCTTGAGGGGCTCTTCCCACCTCCAAAGGCCTCAGCTAGGGTAGAACCAGGATTAAGCTTTGGAGAGGTTACTCTTGTGAAGCTTTTTGATCCTGGAGGCTGAGGCCAAAGACCGTTGGTGTTTCCAGTGTTTTACTTGGTTGCGAACTCTGGGTATCATTGATATATAGATGGTACCTTTTCATCCGCCTCTTGAATTTCCGTACTATGTTCATGTGTGCCTTCTCCCACTGTTAGGTTGAAATGAAACGTTTTACCAGAACTTCATGAAACCCAGACATCTTAGCTGGGCATTGCCAAAGAGAATTTAAGCCATATCCAAATTTCATTTTAACATGCAGGATATTCAAATGGATGGCAGTGTATTGGGAGGTGTCCTAAATTCTTTAACGGCCTGCCTTCCAGTCCTGTCCACCACCTACTACCACCTGGTTTAAGCCTTTCTGAGCCCCATGTGCCACCTGTAAAATGAGTGGGCACCAGCCTTTCTGCTTAAATCATGGATAGCTATTAAGATCAAAATAATAAACATGAAGGCCCTTTGCAGAGGGAACTGTTTTGAACAGATGTAAAGCATTATAATTAGCATAATCTAATAATGCTAACCATTGGGTATGTGTAAAGGGCAACCAGGTTAAGATATCACTTTCAAAGAGTGACTCTTCGGTTCTAGCCCATATTTATTGTAAAGTCTCATGTCTCATCTTTTTCTTTTTGTTGAACTCGTCTGTTTTTCCAGCTAGTTCTTGGGATGTAGGGATCCTCTCTAGTTCTTTAAGTGCCCCACCTTTTCCTAATACTCTCATTTATCAAGTAAGGTGCCTGACATATGGAATGGGCTCTTATTAAGTTGGTAAAATGAATGGAACAGAAGAAAAAGTGAGCCCTGCTGAGGGTCTCCCTTCATCAGCTGTTGAGACACAGCCCAGAGCACTGGCGTCTTCCAAGCCCTGTGTTTACCCTGGGCACTCAAAGGAGCCTCATCTTTAATGACTTGTTTGTGTCCTTACTGATTTGGTGTCAGGTTTAATATAAATAGTTGGAACGGAAGAGCAGGAATTATCCTCAGAGGGAAGGACTCTGGTTTGCGAGTGGTTGAGTGGGAGGCCTGGGCTTTTGATGGTCTCTATAAATAACCTAGAGCAGGAGTGACCTGTTGGTAGAAGCACGTGTAAAAACCCCAGCACACAAACACACACACACAGAGCAGTGAGGTGTGAGTGAAGGGGGCTGTGGGCGAGGAGCTTGGCCCAGCATTTATTTTGGGAAGGAGAAGACAGTGTGGGGCGAACAGAGCACTCCCTGTGTCCTTCCCTTTCTGCGCTGGCCCAAGGCGGTCTCATCTGTCTCTCATTGGACCCTCTGCTCTGGCCTCACTTAAAATAAGTCGGGCCCAGCAGATGGCCCTCTGCTGGCTCCAAGTGCCTCCTGTTCTCTGAAAGAACTCGCTGATGAGGCCCGTTTTTTGTGCGAAGCCATTGGAATCAAGCTTGGCTTCAATTATCAAAGAGAATGATGCCATAGGAAAGATATGCTGGAAGCAGCAGGCCACAGTTAGAGGATGGAAGCTCTGAGGAAGGCAGTTTGCTGAGATCCACTTGTAAAAGTCCGCCTGTTTTCTCAGTTGGCCAGTGCTCTCGGAGTGCCCGGCCCTCACCGAATGCCCCTTGATCCTGCCTCAGAAAACGCATGCTGAAGTCAGTGTTACCTTTCGGACAGTGACTTTGGGAGTAAATTGTCAGAGGGCTTTTGGAAAGTCCTAAACACACAGCCTTAGGAGCAAATGCTTTTTAAGTCTCATTGTTTCCAGGGGGGACTCAGAAGGAGGCCCCAAAGGTCAGCTCTGTTGCCCTCTCTGTAGGGGGCTTTGCCCCAGTGCATGGGGAAGGGGCAGGAGCCACAGCATCTCCTGGAGATAAGAGATAGGAGTAGGCTCAAGGGTGAGTAAGGGAAGCAGCAAATATTTCCCCAACAAATAAGGTCCCAGGAACCTCTGCTACCTGCCAGCCGAAAGCTCTTTGCACATTGAAGTTGCACAGTTGGTCCGCCCAGTGCAAAATGTGTACCATAGGCCTCTACTCTCCCTAGGAATTTAAAATCCTGCCAGCAGCTGGGAGCACAACAGCCCTGAAGAAATAATCAAAGCATCTGGGTACAATTACCGCAGCATGGTCTAGTTTCTTTCCTTTTTTTTTTTTTTTTTTTAAGTAATCACAAGAAAACAGCTCTAATCCATTTTTTAAAAATTATGTGGTGATTTTTGACAAAGTTTGGGGCTCTTAAAAATTGAGTTTGTCTTCCCCAACAACCCTGCCTCAATCCTGTGCCTCATCTTATTATGATTGTAGGGAAATCCAAATACTTTATGGCAGTCAACAGAACTCAGAGCAGTATATTCCGTTTTTAATGATTGGTCACACAGTAGCCCTCTATTTTGGAGGCGAAGGGAGACGAGTTTATTTTAGGATCCATGTGTTCAAGGAGTGCAAAGCTGTGAGCACACCCGGGATTTGAGTTAGGTGCCTTTTTTGTTTGGGGCGGGAGGAGAAGGAATGTCTATGGAGTCATTTTCTCCCTGTAGAGATTGAATTATAACCCTTACATTTGGGACATTGTTGATGCGTTAATACCACAAAGATAGCAACACTGAAGTGATGGACAGAGTGTTTGAATGCTATTTGAGGCTGTTTTGATCTTGTACTATGCCTTTGGATTAAAAACAACTTTTCAGCAAGCCATCAAATGGTCCTAGGTCTTTTAAGGAGGTTTAACAAAGTCTAGAACTTCTACCCCATGTCACAAACGTAGGTTCAGCATTGGAGAGACACATGGGAAGAAGACAGATCTGGTCCTTGCCCTCATGGAGCTTACAGTCTACCTGCACAAGGCAGGCATTCAACGTGGACATAACCACCTCTGTGTAATTGTAAGTCATGACAAATACCACAGAAGAAAAAAGAGCTACAGGAGCTCTTCTTTTTTGTTGGCGGTTGCTTTTTTTGCCAACAAACTGTGACTTCCCCCGAATTACAGCACCCTTGTTGGGCCTTGCAGAGGATGTGAGAACTCCGGACAGGTGGCCACGTCTGAACTGTGCATGTTGCAGGTGGATACCCCAGGTCCACAGGGGCTGTGACTTGCCTTGCTCCCCCAGCTGACTGGGAGCATAGCCAGCACCAGCTCCCTGGCTCTTGATTTCTGTTCCCGATCAAGGGATTTCAAAACTTATTACTTTGTTCTTGAAGACAGGGAAGGGTCTTGAAGTTATCTTGTCCCTCTTGCTTTAGCCGCCCTCCACCCTCCACCCCCCACCCCCCATCCCCCCCATCCCCCCATCCCCCATCCAAGCACCCCAGAGAGCTAGGAACTCTGGGCTATTTTAAAGACATAGGCAATTCCATAACCTGCCCACATCCACTCCATTGGTCCACTTGGACCATTATGAAGTGCTTTTCTTTTTCTGATTTATAAAGGCCATTTCCTCTTGTTCTGCCTTGGATGCCAAACAGAACCATTCTTCTTTTTGAGTTCCCTTATCAACTAGGAGACTGTTTTTACATCCCTTCTTTTTTTTCCAGAAAAACCAGCTGCCTTTCCTTTGCTGTCACTAATCCCAGGCACTAATCTGGTGCCTGGGAATCCCAGATTGGGGACATGGGGTCTAGTTCTAAGGCATAGATCTTACTATCCTCATTTAATTGTCATAAAAAATCCTGGGAGGTAGTGAGACTTCTTGCCCTTTACAGATACAAGAACAGGGTCAGAGCATCTGAGTGACAGTTCAAGGTCACTCAGTCCAAGGTATTTGATAGGTTCAAGTGCCATGCTCCTCATTTGCACTACATAACATCTACGTAACATTTCTAAGATCTCACTTAATGTTCCAGTCTAGGTCAGTAGACTTAATCAAGGTCCCTGTCAACCAAGCTCCTCAAGGAGTCCAGATATGGGTTCCATGTGGCCAAGTCTCCAGGCTGGTGGCCTCCCAGCAGGCTTTTGGGCCCTGCCTGGGGCTCCACGACCTCCATGGATGGTTGTGAGGATGAAAGATGATGAGGCAGCAGATGTTCATTGAGCACCTACTGTGTGTTTTGTACATCAGCTGCTGTGTACATCAGCGGCACCAACAAAGACCCCACACATAATAAGCGCTCAACCAATGGTAGTGCTTGGGTTTTATCAACATTTCTAAAGGAGGGTGTTGGGTTAGATCATTTCTAAAATTCACTCTGACTCTGAAATGTTATGACCCTGGGTAGAGCTTCTATTGTTTGTCTTGCCACTTCATCTACAAGAGTGCAAGCTCCTTAAAGACAGGTACTGACACTCACGTCCTCCTTTTCCCTCTCATTCAGTTCCGTCTTGCACCTGCCCCCTGTTTTCTGCTTTCATACCGAATTGTGGCCCCAGCTGCCTGGCCGCCCATAGCCCTCCTCTGGTCCAGCCTGGTGCGCAGCCTCTGGATCACCTGTGCTGCTGGGAAGACCTTAGGCCCTGCCCTGCCTCTTCCTGACCCAGCTAGTTCCACCCCCTTCCTCCCCACTCTGGGAAGGACTTGGAACTGCCTTCCCTTCCCCATCCTGGGTGGCATCTTCTCGAATTCCTGCTCACCCCTCAGGGTTCGCTGTGCTCCCATCTTCCCCAGGGAGCCATCTTTGGCCGTCCATCAGGAAACATCCTCTCCGTTGTTAGCTCTTTCCAGGATTACCTCTACAAGGTCACTCATTCTGCCTTCTATTCCGGAACTTTTTAAATGTCGAGGCTAGTCTTTGTATTAGGAAGCAAAAAGAGAGATTGAGACAGCCAAACAAATCGATCCATGCCCACTCGTACTACCTCTGCAATCCGGGCCAGGCCGCTGTGTGGGTGGGATCGCCAAAGGACCACCACGGTAAAGTGGCCACAGGGGGCTCCTCCTCCCCCAGCTGGCTGTGAGGACTAAATGAGATGATGTGTGTACAGGCAGGCCCTTCTTTGTGGGCCTGTAATATCACTGTGTCTGCCTCCCTCATGGTGCCCCTTCTACCCCTGTTTATGGTGACACACCCGTTTCAGGCCGTGGATGCCAGACAACCAGAGGCTGGGGCTGGGCACACCCACAGCCCATTGCAGTGCCAAATGCATAGTAGGCGAGTAGGAGCTCATTGAACACAAGCCTAAGACTGCTTTGACCTTTCACGGGTCCCTTTCATCTGCCCACCCGCGGCCATCTTTATAGGCCAGCTGCAGTGGCCCAATAGTCGGTTCTTTGCTCTGAGCCATTCCGTTCCCCTCCAGTTGGCTTCTTTGCTGTTGGTGCAGGCTTGGTAGCCCCGTGGAGTGTGCCAGTCTGTATAAACGGGGTTGCCCACAACGTCAGCCTTCACAGGCCCTTCTGCAGCCCCAAGACCATGGTGGCTCCTTCCTCCTTCCCCACTTAAGACTCTAGCTGGTGACACAAGAGGAATGCGGCCCAGCAGGGGACAGGCACACTGGTTGTTCCGGGAGATCAAGAGGGCAAAATGGGGCAGCAGAGGCCACTGAAACAAAAGGGGAGACCCCAGAGGAGGGGCCTGGACCTTCCTTTGAAACAGCTGTGCTGCTCATTTTAATCCCGCTGACTCTCAGCCTGGTAGAGTGAGGGCTGGGTGGAGGCAGGGCACACACAGGCCGGGCTCAGGGTGGGGTACAAGTCCTGAATGTTGTCTTGCACTTCCCTGTCCCATTCGTCCAGCTCCCTGGGCCCAGGGCTGAAATGCGAAGGCTGTGCCAGGCCCCCAGGTGTTTGCATCTCGGAACTACACCAACAGCTCTCTTGGAAGCTTAAGATATCTTAGGGCCCAGGCACTGTCCTCCTCTGGTGTCAGCTTGGAAAGGGGGCCGGGATGGGAAAGATACTTGGTGTCCACTGACTTAGTCTCCTCTGTCATTCTATAGCTTCCCCTCCAAGAGTAGAGTCTCGGTCCTTCCCCTGTGTGGGGGTGTATTTAGAACTTTGTAGGGTCCCCTGGGCTGCCTCTGGGCTCCTCCGTCTCCTGGGAAACCTTTTTTTGTTTCCCAGAGGAACCCAGCCTGCTTTTTCCCCAGGGAGAATCGGTGGCTCAACAGGCCCCAGCTTTCTGCCCAGAGAGCACCTGGCCATGGGTAGCAGGTTGGCATTGAACAGATACTGGGATTGTGCACTTGGTTGTCCCAGGGTCACCTGGCTACCTGGATGTCTGCCGAGCATCAGCGATGCACCGCTGTTGTGCTTCTCCTGCAGGCCCTTCAAGAGGAGCGATCCGGTTAATCCATACCACATAGGTTCTGGCTACGTCTTTGCACCGGCCACCAGTGCCAACGATAGTGAGATATCCAGTGACGCACTGACTGATGACTCCATGTCCATGACGGACAGTAGCGTGTAAGTATTCTGGTATCCCCGTCATGTGCATGGTTGGCATGGTGACCCACCGGGCCAGCTGGGCAGAGTCCTCAGCCATCCTCACCTGGCCTTACAAATCCCACCTGTAGACATGTATCTGGGGGTTGAGGAGGGAGATACAGTAGGTGGGGTAGCGCTAAGCTTAGAGTCTTGAAGGGAAAGTTGGGTGGTACCTTAACAGAGGAAGACTAAAGGAATGTGAAAGGTTAAGATGAATATGTGGGAGTTCCTTGAGTTTAACAACACATTTTCTGGTTGTCATTTTGCCTGCCTTGCCTGTGGGCAGAAGTGCTTGATTGGTCTTGAAAGCTAGGAGGTGTCCCATCTGCAGAACCAGCAGGTGGGGGACAGGGTGGCATCAGAAGAGTGTGCATTTAGGTGTTTGTTGTTCTTGAAGGAAAAGGCAGCGGAGGTGGGAGTCAGCAAGCCAGAGCTTCCAAAAAGGGCGCTTGTGTGTAATATCCCCTCATAAATGTGTTCAAATGGCCATTGCTCCGTTAGTAAGTCTTGGTGGGGTGCCTGCTCTGTGTCAGGTGGGGGTTCTACCTCCTTGATCGGGTTCCTGCCAGAACCCAGTCTGATCTTGGATCTTTTGCAGATGGATGGCTTTGATTTTTAAAAGTAATCCAAATCGTTAGGGTGGGCTACGAGGTCAGTAGGCCATCAGGCAAGGTCACGTGTTAAGTTTCAGGTCATTTGTGGTCCTGCAATGGTGATCTCTGGATGGAGAGCGGCTCACATTCTATGGGAGGTTCATGGGGGGGGGCAGGGTACCCCCACCTCCTGCCATCCTTTGAGATTCTGATTCAGGAGACTTGGGCAGAACTCCCAAGAGCTTTTCACCGAACACCCAGTTGGGAACAACCATTTTAGAAGTGTTCTTTGAAGGCTCTTTCCCAAATGTTTTCAAGTAGGAATCTCTCTGACTAAGAGAATAGTTCTAAAAGGTAAACGCATTGAGCTGTGTGAGTTCTGGCATACGTACTCAGAGTTTGTTCCTTCTACCTTCCTAGTAAGAACTGGACCATCTATTTTTCCAGTTTGTTTGAAAATATCAGGCTTTTGTTAGCCAATGTCCTATTGCTGCCTGGGGCATGAAACCAGTTGGAAGGCAAGTTGATGAGGTTGGTTTGGGGCCCTACTATTGATTAAAATCTTGGTGGCTTTTACCATGTTACCTCAGATTCCCCTACTGGTAAAGGGAGAGAAATCCTTAAGGTGAAACATTCCACTTTTATAGAAGAAGTGCATTTTGGCGTGACTGAAGTAGAGTAGGGGTACACAGCTTACATCCAGCTTGGAGGGGTGAGGAGTTCTACCAAAGCAAGTTGGCCTGAACTCCTTAAGCATCCATACTTGAGAAAAATTATCTTTTGATGGACATAGTTCTTAATACAGTTTTGCTCTGTCTTTATGGAATAGTATTAGGCAGGTGTAATTTATATCATGGTCCAAATAATTTATATCAAGATCCGTTTTCGTACTACGTTGTATTTTCTCATAGAATATAAGGTTATATAGGGCTCTCCACCCCTACACATACTAGCACGCCCCAGTTTTCAATGATAGTTTTTCTTTTTTCTCGTCATTCTGCCTGCTGTCGTTTTGTTTGTTTTGCTGTTGTCTGGGTACTTGCTACTGGTAGCATTGCTTCTTCAGCTTTTATTATTTTGTGGGTTGCGTGGGAGTCTCAGCATTATGTGTAAAATAAGGGTAAATTGGATTTGAATGGGGGCCTGGAGTGACTCTCTTGAGTCAAAGGTAGTTTACGTAAGACTGAAGGCTTCTGTTTAGTTTTCTTAGAGACTATTCTTGGCTTGCTTCCCAGTCCTTGCCCTCATTTCATTTTGGTCCCCACCGAAGTGCTATTCTAGGTTCTTGATGAGATAACGTGGGTGTGGTCCCCATCCCTGTTCGAGCCCCACAAGACCCAACCAGAAAGGTAGACAGTTCCCCTGGGACCTACAGGTGGAAGTGAGGCCCATGCTTCCGTCACCTGAGACAGAGCTCAGACGCAGGCCAGGCACAGCCCCTGCCCTTTGCCTCTGCCCCCCTCCCCCGAAGCACGCACATTTCCGACATGAGATATGTTATTAGGACCAGTTGATAATGAGACCTTTGAGCCACTTTGAGTTTCTTTCGTTTTTATTAGTGATCACCCACACTGTTTCCTTTTTATTGGATTGGGGGAGGGGTAGGAGGAAGCAAGTCCTAACTCCTCCCCTGCACGTTCCCCCTTTACCCTTTTCTTTGATCCCCTCCCCAAAGAAAAACTCCCTCACTTTTACAGAGGTGGTTTCTAAAGCCCTGACCCTCCCGCCCTTTGGCAAAAGAAAGTGTGGACGTGAAGCCCAGGGCAGATGAGCTACCTAGGCCAGTCGGCTATTCTGGGGAGCGGGGGGTCCAGGTGTGGGCCACCGAGGCCCGCCCTGATACAGAGGCAGGTCTCAGGAAGGGCAGCCCCCTCGCTTGGCAGCCTTCTCTTTGGGCCACAGCGCACATTCCCTGTGGTCTCAAGTGGCAGACCCTCAGGGGCTCCTCCTGGGGCGAAGCTACCTTGGCCTGGTGATGAGTCAGCCAGGATGCAGCTCCAAACGGAGGAACCTGGGGGCTCGTGGTGTTGGACCTGATTTCCTGATGTCAGTGTCGGGTGGCACTGAGCCTTCTCCCAGCCAAGGGGGCGGGGGCAGATTATCAGATGGGGCCATGGCAGCTGGCCCCACTTGGGCATGTTTGTACCAACTGGGGAGGCATGTGTAGTCAGAGCAAGACCATCCTCTCTCTAGGGAATGGATTGCCCAGAGGCGTTTTGCCCGGTGCTGCCTATCGTGGGGGATAAACGGGTCTCCAGAGCCCATCGTTTAGGATGGGCATTTGGGCTTAGAGTTTCCTATGGGTCTAAAGCTGCCAGGCACTGGGGGCCCCCGGGGCCCTCCCTGCTCTCCTGCCCAGCAGACTCAGCGTGCCCTGAAAGCCTGGCCATGCAAGGTGCTCTCTGGCCGGCTGGCCCTGAGTGTGCATGATCTGCCCAGTGTCGGGCGGGTCACCCGGGATTCCCAGGGCTGGGATTAGACCCTTCTTCAGAGCTCTGCCAATTGTGGGCCTGGCGCAGATGAGAGTGCTGAGGGAGAAATAAAGTGTGTGGGGGATGAAAAGCCGAACTGAATCGCTTTCAGCCCATTGTTCATCTGGGGAAGCTTAGAGGGGATAAGAGGGTAGCAGGCCCCTTTGAAATTTCCTTGAACAAGTGAATAGGAGCGCCCCATAAAGCATGAAAAGGCCCTGGCTGTTTCTCCTGGTCACAATGGCCAGCTCGGGCTGGGAGCGGGGCTGGGAGTGGGGCTGGCTGCCCTGCTGGGAGTTGGGGAGGGGATGCAGCTGGGGAGGGGGAAGAGGGGGTCACAGTCGGCCTTCAATAGACTCCAGAAGGTTGGAGTTCATTAAACACAAGCCCGGGGAAGCAATCATCTCATTTGCGACAGCACCAATGAAGTCCCGGGGGCCTTTGCAAGAGGCCTGGGTAGAAGTTGGGCAGGGCTGGCCTGCACTTGGTTATTCCAGGGAGCTGTGCAGCCGGGCCTGGAGGTCCGGGGCAGGCAGGGGCCTTAAAGAAATCATTGCCTTCTCCCCAAGCCCCACTGCTGACTTCTGTTTTCCTGCTCAGTAAATCGCCCTATTAAAGATGGCTGGGATTTGGGTCTTCACCATAGGCCTCCGAGAAGGCTGTTTTATGAGTCTGAAACCGACATTTTTGAAAGAAATGGCTTTTTAATTTTTTTTTTCCTTTTTGAAAGGTAGCTGCCAGACTCCCAGCCAAGCTCTCAACTCCAATCTTTGGAGTACTGTGGGGGACAAGGAGGGTGGTGGGGCCATTCCTGGGGCTCCAGCCTGGAGGGGGAAGCTCGGGGGGCGGGGCTGAAAACCTGGGAGGCAGCAGGTTCTTTGCCACCCCAGTGTGGCTCCTCTTTTGGAGGCAGCCGGGCATGGTGAAGGCCATGCGTAGATGGTGTGGGAGTGTCCCTCTGTCTTGTCACTTTTGCGCAGAGCTGCTCATAGAGCCAGGAGCAGCTTGGCTGGAAGGCTGCTCCGGCTCTGGGAGTCAGGAAATCAGTGCAAGACACTCCCCTCACGCCTCACGCAGAGGGCGGCGCGGGTCATTTTATTTATTTATTTTTATTTCCTTTTATCTTATTTATGGGTTTACTTTGGACACCAGGGACAGCATCCGCGTGAACTTCAAATATTACCTTATCTTACAAACCAGGCTTTTGATGTTGGCTGTGATCAGAGGCGGCCCTCTGAGAGGCTGCCAAATGGAAATGCGAGTGGACGCCTGCGCGCATCAGCCCGCGATTTCAAAGTCACCGGAAAACGACATTCAGGTTAGGCCGGGCACAGCGGAGTCAAAAGGCTAAGCTAATTGGCTCGGCTTAAATGGCAGCTAAGTGGAGTCCACACTTCAAAACCAGTGCTCCCCAGAAACAGCTGGGCCCGGCAGCCGGCTCGTTAGCTACAATGTTTATAATGAAAGGAGGGACAGAAACGCAGGCGCTCTTCCACTGGCAGTTCTGAGCAGCCAGGAAGCGGATCATAGACTTTTAGAGTCTGAATAAAAAGGAGAGAGGCCCCCTTCTGGAATGAGGGGCTGTTTTGGAAGAAGATTCTTGGCTGGGGGAGAATTAAAGCCACATTTCCTTGAGGTGCCTGTCAAGCCTCTTTGAGACTCTACAAGTTGAAATCTCTTTTCCTGCCCTGGCTCCTTCAGCTGCCCCGCGTGCGTGCGTGCGTGCGTTTTGTGTGTGTGTGTGTGTTGGCTGAGGGGGTGCCTAAAAAAAAAAAAAAAAGACGTTTGTTCCTTTGACCTTCAAATCAGCCAGTGACCTGCTTCCCGTCCCCCCATACCTACGGCTCCTAATTCTCTTTCTACCTTATATGGAAAGACAGAATGGTATAAAAGCCTTACCACTCACTGATTTCCTGCTGGGAGGAAGGAGAAAAGATGGAAGGATTGCTAGAGGACATTCGAGGACAGTCTCAGAGAGGGTGGAGGGGAGCCTCCTCTGGGACTCTTGAAACCCTGTGGGTGGCACTGGGGAGTCCATGGGGTGCTTGACTCCTGGCCCCCAAGATGATTAAGAAGGGCCCTGGACTGGAGGCATCCATTCTCTTAAGTTCCCAGAAGAGTCACTGCTCAGGAGAAGGGTGTGGGTCTGGTCTTGCAGCCCTAGGGCAGCAGAAGTTGGATTAGACCAGTATGAGGCCCAGTCTGTGGGGCCCCCACCCCACAGGGATTTAGGTTAGAGGTGGGGAGAATCACTGTCTCGGGAACCACCTGGCATGCCCCGTAGCCAGTGAGTACGAAGCAGTGGGGGCGGACTCTCTGGAATGTACGCCACATCTCCCATTCCTCCTTTCAGAATGTCTGGTGACTCTGGGGGGCTTAGGAAATGGTGCCCCCATGTTTGGTTAGGGAGCCTGGCTTCTCCAGCTGGGGCTGGGAGTGTAGGTGGTTGAGCTAAAGACACCTGTTCTGGAGTCCAGCAACAGCCGGGATTCGGTCCTGGATCTGACCGCTCCTGACTGAGACCCTGGTCATTTCAAATGTGGTGAATTAGGGCTTTTATGAGAATGAAGTTGGATTCTATGTTAGATGTGCCTGACCCACCGCAGGAGCTCGGTGGGTGGGAGCTGGCAGCCTGTGGTTGGAACCAGTCACCTGGCTTGGGATTTGGTTTTCTGGTCAAGTCAGGTATGCTCTTGAGAGCCCAGTTTTCTGCCATGTCTTATAAATGATCCTAAGGTGAAAACAATGAATTTAGGTAAATAAGCACCAGGTGGGTCAGCAAGAATCTGGACCTGGAACCTTTGTCCTACTTGGCCTTCAGGGCCCTGGCAAGTCCCAGGCCTTCGTGAGTTAGGGGGGCCGTCTGGGTGACTTGACCTGCTCTGGCCAACAGGCTACCCCTTCCCACTGTGCTCGCTGCCTCTGCCCCTTGGCCTCTCTCCAGGACAGGACTTGCAAGTGTGTTAAGTCCTTGCTTCAGATGTTGACCTCCTTCTCTGCTGTATCCTCAGTACGATGATCCTTTAGGTTCAGATTCCTAGCCAGGGTTTGGCTCACAGATCACTGGTCTGTTGTGAGTGGTATCATCCCCACGCGGCCCTGTTCTCTGGCCCAGGCCAGCAGACTTCCAGCTCCTGGAATCCCAGGGCATTGCGCATGGGGGGCCAGAGGTGAGTGCCGGTTCCGCCGGCATATTTCCAGGCACTGCTGATGTTCACATGCTGCTGAGCCAGCCGTGCTTTTCTCCCTTCCACCCTGTGATGATCGAAACACCAGGGAAAGAGAAGTAGTCCAGCACCGAACTTCAGTATTGACAGCCTCCAAGTATAGTATGTCACTGTTTGAACGCGAGGCTTTCGTAAATAAGTTGACTCCAAAAGGGACAGAGATGGGAAAAGTGTCCCACCTTGATCATTTGACTGCTTTTAAGAATAAACATTTTTTAAAAACATAGGAACTCCAGGTCACATTTCTAGTGAAGACTGGTTGGAGCACAGAGTGCAAGTGCTTCTTACCTCTTCTACTTGCTTTTTATTTGTTTGTTCTTTAATATGATGAAGGACAGAGGCCTATCCTCCTGCAGGTTTTTGCAAGGACTTAATTAACATCTCCGCGCTCCCCTCCCCCCCGCAAAGGACCCGGCATGCCCCCTAACCAGTGAGTACTAAGTGGTGGGGAGGACAAGGGCTTTGAACTTGCAACTCCCTTCCCCGCCAGTGGCTCTCTGTCCCCGCATCCTATAGCGTGTGTCATCATGGCGATTACCAACCTCTAACATGCTACAGATCTTGCTTTTTTATTTTTGCTTATTGCCCGGGCCACCCCATTAGGAAACAAGCTTCATAAGGTAACCCTCTGCATTTGTACTCCTTCCTTGGCTGATTGCTTGCCCAGTGCCTAGAACAAGGTTTGGCACATGGTAGGTACTCAAATATTGGAATGAATTGCACAGAATGTCACACAGTAGGGGCCTTGTCTTTATGCCTATGTTGGTCATGCTGTTGAGACTTCATTGGTTGGGGGTGGTGGGGTTTGGAGCTGAGGAAAGGAAGGGCCAAAGGTACCCTTTGGTGATTTATATGAGGAAAAACTTCAGGGGTGACTGGGATGTTGAGTGTTGAGACTTACACGTAGCTCCTCTAATGCGTGGCTCGGCCCAGCCCTCTGTGGGTCTGGTCCCTCCGTCTGCTGTATTTTGCCCTGGAACGCTCCATAAGGCATACCTGCTTTCCTGATTCGGGGTAGTGTGTGGCGGCGGCAACAGACTGTCAGGAGGACCAGAGAGGTCTTAGACTCTCCTGCGTAGGGCACCTGTGAAGTAGGGGAGCCTTCACTCTAACTGGGCTGGCTGGAGTATAACCTAGTTCTCAGAGAAGAGCCTGAGAGATGAGCTTACCATTGTCTCCGGAGTTGGCCATCCCAATCCAGGAGGGAGCTGTTTGCAGAGATGAGTGAGGGATGGGCAGGACTTTTGGCACTTGGAGGGTGGGAGCAGCCATGGCAGCTGGGGCGGGGATGCGCTCCCATGGAGGTGTGTGGCCCTGTCCATGGGCAGGATCTGAGCACCTTGAGTGCTGACAGCATCTTCTTGAGCCTGCGGGTTCTGTCTCTCCCCTTCCCTTAGAGATGGAATCCCTCCTTACCGCGTGGGGAGTAAGAAACAGCTCCAGAGAGAAATGCACCGCAGCGTGAAGGCCAATGGCCAAGTGTCTCTACCTCATTTCCCGGTGAGTATAGTCTAGAGCGGGAGGTGGCTGTTCTCAGCCCCACTGAGTCCTGAAGAAAAGGGGTGGGAGGAGGAGGGGGGTGCACAGAGACAGTAGGAGGGACAGTCCCGGGGCCCACCAGCAAAAGGTGGGGAAGGGAAGACCAGGCAAGAGGTGCTACATGGTTCCTTGGGGTGTGACGCTGAGCGGAGGGGAGTTCGACATGACCTTTTTGAATGTCTACGTTTTCTCAATTCATAAAAAAATTCTTTATGAGAAAGAAACTGAAGCAGTTCCTTCCCAGAAACCAGGACATGGTAGGAGATTATTCATGCTTTTTATCAGCTTCCCGCTAGAATGGAAGGAAGCCCCTCGAGGGCAGGGAGTTTGTCTATTCTGTGAACTCCCATATTCACAGAAACTAGAACAGTGCCTGGCACATAACAGGTACTTAAATATTAAATGGACACTTGCTGATTGAATGAACGAACAGACGAATGAATGAGGAGGCTGGAGGACTCTGCCTCCCATGGGAAAGAAATTCCATCCCTGGGACATTCTGTTTGTGTTGACTGCGTGGCTCAGTCACTTCAGTCATCCACTTATCTGTTTACTTGGCTGCTTCTCCTGCTGACTCCTGCAGCCCTGGAGGGCAGCTGGACCATCCTGTCTGTTTCCAGCCGCAGAACATGGCTTAGTACCTGCCATTGCAATATGCATCTACTATGTGCTGAATGAATGAAGTGTTTGGAAGTGGGGATTTTACGAGCAGCTTCTTCCTGGGATGGAGATGAGAGGCCAGCATGGCATGAAGGACTTTTCTGGGCCCTCCTGGATGGAGGACAGCCAGCACGTGGCCCCTGGCCTCAAAGAGAGCCTCACCGGCTACATTGAGGAGCTGTGCTTCTGGCAGCGCTCTGGGGTCCGGGTTGCAAGGGTGCTGCTCCTGGGGCCGGGGAAGAGAATGCCCAGGTGAGAGCGGCATCTCTGTTTATGAATCCTTCCCACCGGCTCCCGAGAATCCAGTTGGTCTGTGGGTGATGTAGCATTTAGAAAATTAGCACTTGGAATCGCTAATCCCATGCGGCATTAGTGCACGGATTGTTGCTGGAGCAGCTCCTCCGTGAAACCTGCCACAGTTTGGGGCAGACTTCACTTTGTCCTGAAATTAGCACGTTAAGATTGCTTTTCTGTGGGAACTCCAGAACACCCCTCTTCAGTAACAGTACCCCCCCCCCCAAATACAGCAGTATTGATGATATTAAAATGTTTTTGATGGGGCAGGGGTATATGTGTATTAATAAAGAAAACTTCTAACACCGGTGCTTATAAGTTAGATGGTTTTGTCCTGGGGTGTGCAGGTCCGGTTTCTCCATGAGGCAGCCCCTTGGTGGGAGTCGGCCTATGCGAGAAGGGCCATCTCCTGGGGGGGCTGCGGGGGGAGGGCGTCTTTCTCAGCCCTCACTAGTTCTGCAGCTAAGTGGATGCTGTGGCAAGGCCTGCCCGCTGCTGGGGGAAATGCTGGCCTGCCCAGGCAGGCTCTCTGCCCCCACTGCACCCCAAAGAAAAGGGGAATGAGGAAAGAGGCAGAACCACCGGGGAGGAGGGGTGGGCGAGATGGCAGGAGGATAGAAAGCCATCGGGCTGTGGGGGTTCTCGCTGTTTGCTGCTTTTGGCAGGCGATCTCCGTGCCTTTTTATATTCCGCACTTGATTTGGAGATGTTCCCTTTTCCCTTGATAGAGCAGCTTCAGGCAGCCAAACTCAGCAGTGTTCTGCTACTAGCCCGCAGCAGCTTTCTTCATTTTCTGTACAAAGAGACGGGGAGGAGGGGAGGGGGAAAGCAGGCAGATCTAGGACAGTGTTGAGACAACACCACCTCAAAGGTGCGCAGTGTGCGGCCAGGAAATAAAGTACCGCTTCTTCTGATCTGGCCGTGTGACTCCCTTTTTTCCCTCCCTTTTCCTCCCCCCCACCTCCCTTCCAATCTTATTTTTTTAAATTTCCAACTCCCTTTCTGTTTAGACTCTACTTTTTATTCCTTGAGTTGGTCTCTCTCCCCTCCCCACCACAGAGGCTGCCTTTTTTTTTTTTTTTTTTTTTTTTTTGATGTTTGACAACAGTCTTTGAAGATTTTCTACTTCAGAGTAACTACTGATGGGCTGGTTGTACTACAGAGAGAACAAGCGGGGCCTCTCGGAGTGCGACCAACTGCTCCTGCCCAAGGCAAACGCTGGTGGGGACCATGGCGCTCCATGAGGCCGCAGCGCCGGCGCATAAAGCTCCTCCGCAGCCCGGGCCGCGCTCTGCCCGAACCTGGAGCCACCGAGCACCTCGCTGGCCCAGGGAGCTCCGCTGCAGCCGCCCTGGCCACCGCGTACTGGGCCAGCTAAACACGCCCGTCCCTTTCCTCCCTGCACCCTGCAGAGAACCCACCGCCTGCCCAAGGAGATGACCCCCGTGGACCCCGCCGCCTTCGCGGCAGAGCTGATCTCCAGGCTGGAGAAGCTGCAGCTGGAGCTGGAGAGTCGACACAGCCTGGAGCAGCGGCTGCAGCAGATCCGAGAGGTAGTGCTGGCCCCACCCCGGGGGCCCCTGCCTGGCTCACCGCAACCCCCGCCCCCTTCCTACCCCGCCCCCCTGCCACGTGCTATGGGTTCTGCTGCTCACGTGTCCCCCCACCCCCCAGGATGAAGAGAAGGAGGGCTCTGAGCTTGCGCTGGGCTCCCGGGACGGAGCGCCCACCCAGCACCCCCTGTGCCTCCTGCCCTCCAGCAGCTACGAGGAGGACCCGCAGACGATTCTGGACGACCACCTGTCCAGGGTCCTTAAGACCCCTGGCTGCCAATCCCCTGGTGTGGGCCGCTACAGCCCCCGCTCCCACTCCCCCGACCACCACCACCACCCCCAGCTGTACCACCCCCTCCTCCCGCCTGGGGGCAAGCTGCCCCCTGCTGCCACCTCGCCAGCCGGCTGCCCCCTCCTCGGGGCCAAGGGGTTCGTGACCAAGCAGACGACGAAGCATGTACACCACCACTATATCCACCACCACGCTGTCCCCAAGACCAAGGAGGAGATCGAGGCGGAGGCCGCACAGAGGGTGCGCTGCTTCTGCCCTGGGGGCCCCGAGTATTACTGCTACTCCAAGTGTAAAAGTCACCCCAAGGCCCCGGAGCTCGGGCCGGCGGAGCAGTTCGGGTAAGTGGACTGTCCCAGTGGGTCTTCTCTCCTGACCGCAGCCCTAGGCAGGTGTGAGGTGGGTTCAGAGGTCACTGGCATTTTGTTTCCAGGAAGGGGGGCAGGGGGAGCAGGTGCATGTCACCCCACCACTTTCCCATCTGTTCGATGGAGGAGTCCCAGAGAGGTAAGGGGCTGTGGTTCTTGGTTCCCCACAGCGGCAGCAGAGGCGGCACCCTGCCCAAGCGCAATGGCAGAGCCGCTGAGCCCAGCCTGGCCGCCAGGGACGGAGCGGGGGCGCTGCAGCTGCCGGGGGAGGAAGGAGACAGGTCGCAGGATGTCTGGCAGTGGGTGCTGGAGACCGAACGGCCAAGCAAGCCCAAGCCCCATAGGTAAACATCGTCGCCGCCAGCACCACCCCCAGGAGGGTCGGGGCAGTCACCGGAGCTATTGTGGGGTTGGCTATTTTTGTAGTCGGCCGGAAACAAATGTGACTATTTGCTCCTGCCATCTTAATATTAAATGTTGGACTGAACAGACCACAAAAATGCCATGTCTTGGCAACGCCCCCTGTTCGTGTTATGGTAGTTATTTTTTTCTTCTCTCCCTGAAGGCAGAATAGAGAAGTTTTCTTGAAGTCACATTTTCCAGTTTTTCTAACCCAGTTTCTTTCCTTCTGCTTTCTCTCTCCTCATTCCTTGTTCAGTGCCCAAAGCACAAAAAAGGCCTACCCCATGGAGTCTGCCCGTGTGTCCCCAGCTGAGCGAGCTGGCCGGCACCACCTGTGGGGGGGCAGCAGTGGGCACCCCCGAGCCGCCACCCGCACCCACCCGTTTACCCAAGACCCTGCGATGCCTCCCCTGACCCCACCTAACACCCTGGCACAGCTGGAGGAGGCCTGTCGCAGGCTGGCGGAGGTGTCGAAACCCCCGAAGCAGCGGTGAGTGGAGGCTGCGTCAGAGGTGAAAGGCTCGGGCTGGGTGTGGAAGTGGAGGCCTGGCCTGCTGCTAGGGGAAGGGCCTTCTTTCTCCTGGGTCTCTGTCTTTCCTTAGGGAGGAGGAATGGCTTTTGGCCGCATAGCATTGTCCTTTCCAGCCTCTAGAAATGGTTCCCTTTAGTTCCATTCTTTCTGGTGAGCTAACCAGGGTGTGTTGGGTCACTCGTTCAGTAATTCCTTACAAATCCTATTCGCTGCAAGTGTCCAGATCTTTGCATCCTGGTTTGGTGAGCGCATTAGAGGCCATGGCTGACTGATGGGGAATCGAGGGCCTTCAGCCCTTCGCCCAGGGGGCTGAGTCCAGTCTTCGGTTCCCACCGGGGCTTCAGATGGCTGTGCCCAAGATGTGTGCCAGGCCCTCTGGAGCCACAGGCCTTGTTGGGTTGGGTCTACCCCTGGATGGACGTCTGGTCTGTGTGTGTTCAGGAGGCCACAGAGGGTTGTTTTCTGTCAGCCCCCCACTTGCCCTGGGGACAGCAGGCTTAAGCAGGCTTACCTCTAAACCCTTTGCTCCGGCTGTGTCCTCAGGTGCTGCATGGCCAGTCAGCAGAGGGACAGGAACCACTTGGCCACAGGACAGACAGGAGCCACACCCTTCTCCACCCCAAGCCTGGCTGCAGAAGAGTGAGTGTCTCTGCCTGGTATTGCTGAGGTCCCCCCGGGGTTTGCATTTCAGGGTGTTCACCATCAGGAGTGGTGGTTTTTGAAAACACTTGTTAATATATAAAATCACCTTGATTCCAACATATTAATGACCAGTTGACACAGATGTTGCTGCCATAAATTAGGATCTTGGAAACCCTGCCTGTACTGAGGAACCCATTGCGACTTGTCCACAAGTGTTTCCTCCTGCAGTGACAGGTGGCGCAGGGTTCCCGGGCACACACTTGTCAGAAGCTGAGATGGGGAGCCATGAGCAGGTGGGCCAAGGGGCCCTCAAACCTGGATGCAAAAGCGCCCCCAGTCAGCTTGCCGGTTGGCGAGTTGGGAACCTCGTTGGGGCATCCAGAGCAGGGAAGCGATCTTCACTGTTTGGCTTGTGGAAAACAGGATCTCCCCTAATAGCGCTGTGGTTTGTTTCGTAAATTTGCACTCTTACAAAGTGGACAGAGAAGCTTGGCTTCGTTTAATTACAGGATGGCACGTTTAAAAAGAAATCTGCTGAAGAGATCTAAAATGGTCTAAATAATTAAAAGTTGTTTTTTTTTCCCCTTAGCTTCTTTATCTTGAGCAATGTTTGCAGCCCTGAATAAGCTACCACCCTGGGCCCTTTTGTTTTACTTGGTTGACCTTAAGTCTACCAGCTGTTTTGGCCCGAATCTTGGTTTTTTAATTTTTTTTTAAGCCACTCCACAAAACCTTGGAATAAATAGGGAAGTTGAAATGACTGTGGGCGCTCTCAGTGGGCCCCAGTGTTCTGGATTCATGCCGTCCCAGGGGGTGCTCCGAGTTTGCCTCTACAGCATCCCCTGCTGGCGAGTGTCCCCGTTGCTCTGCGATCATTTCTCCTCTCTCATCTTCATGGCAAACACCCCATGTGTGCCAGCCTGAAAGAGACTGCTCTGTCCCCTCATTAGGTGGTCGTGAGAGAAACAGTAGCAGTTTGTACAAACAAAGGAATTGTCCCTTCTGTGTGCCCCACACTGGTGACTGGGGGTTGGACCGTGTTCACCAGAGGTGGCTATCTCTGTGATGTGGAGGCCCCACGCCCAAGCCCCCTTTTGAGCTTCCAGCTTGTGGCTGGAGACAGCGTTTGGAGAGCACACGGACGCGCATGTGTTTGCTCACTGCCTTTGAATGCTGAGCTTGCGTTGTATCTTATTTTCAGTCACAAAGAGCCAAAGAAACCAGCAGGGGTCCACACGCTCCAGGCCAGCGAGTTGGTCGTCACTTATTTTTTCTGTGGAGAAGAAATTCCATACAGGAGGATGCTGAAGGCTCAGAGCTTGACCCTGGGCCACTTTAAAGAGCAGCTCAGCAAAAAGGGAAATTATAGGTAAGAATCCTGTGGCTTCTTTCTGCTCTAGAGCTCGTTTGCTCAGAACCAAGAACCAGAGTCGCTTCCCTGACCTGGCCGGACCTGGGAGGGCCCAGGAGGGCTTAGGAAGTGCCCAGGAGGCCGTGGGAGTGCCTGTCCGCTCGCCACTCACAGAAAGAACACAGCAGCAGCAGCTGGGAGGGCTCTGCGGACCAGGTGACCAGGATGCTGAGAAGGAAGGTGGCAGTTGGCTTTGTCACAAAGAGAGCTGGGCTTGGGCCATTTTGTGGGGCTCTGTCTGAAAGGGAGAGAGATGGGAGGGAGATAGAGAAAGACAGACAGACACACAGGTGGGCATACCAATTAGGAGTCCGAAAGACTGCTGTCGTGGCTTGGGTGTCAGAGAGACTGTCCACACAGAGGGCTCCGGGAAGGGCAGAGACCACCTGGAAGTGGAGGCAGCCTTCTCCTTACTCAGCTTCTCAGCCATAGAGCTGCCTCCCTCTGTCCTAGGGGGTCCTGTGAAACAGGGTGTTCTTTTGCCCACAATGGAGAGGGGCAGGCCCTGTGGATGGGCCTTGACTCTGCTGGACAAGGGCCTTGGGAAGGGAGCTTGCCCACCCTCTGGGCTTTCTTTCCCTGTCTGCACAGTGGTGACACCCACCAGGACTCCTAGGGACCTGGACAGGATTAGAGCCGTGGGCCCCATTTCTTCTTGTTTATGGTCCTCTCAACTGGAGACAGGTGGTGACTCCACATTAGTTCTTCCAGAGTCCCACCTGCCCCTGCTAGATGGCCTGCATCCCGCGGGAGCACGCCTCAGCTGTGTCCCAGGTGCTGTGTGCAGGGCTGGGACAAGGGATAGGCAAGTGCAGTGCGAAGCACACAGTGTGTGTCCAGAAGGCGTCCACGCATTCCTGCCTCGAGCCAGGGATGGGAGTGGAGAATGCTGAGAGCACTTAGCGACCTGCCAGGTGGTCATGGGCTTCTGGACCCAGGCGAGTCCAAGTCCAGGGCTCCGAGACCCATCCCTTCCCAAGCAGCCACCTCCACCTGGGCGCTGATTTGGGCAGGGGCCCCTGGTGACTCGTTTTTCAGAGGAAGGGACGGGGGTCAGGCAGGGGCCCTGTAGGTGGCTGGGAGCAGGGGGTGGTGCCGGGCTTCAATCTTTCTCCTTTACACCGGGGCTGAGACAGTTCTGAAAATGTGTCAGCAGTTGAGGAACAGGCCTGGCTGCTGCCGCCCTTTTTTTTTTGGTTTTTTTTTTTTTATCATGAACAGACACAAGGTGAAACTAATTACACAAGTGTGCCCCTTCAGGGATTCATTTTGATCTCAGCTTTGACTCTGCTGGACTTTGAGGGGAGCTGCAGGTGACCTTCAGGGGAGAAGGGCCACGGAGCGCCGAGCAGAGAGGCTGCAGGAGAGGCTCCCTGCTCAGCCACTCCGGCCACATCTGGCTCTGATTTTTTTTTTTTTTCCTAAGGCACACTTAATAAGCCTGGCTTTGAAGCCCCGGCCTCCCCTTTAATGCACAAAGACTTGCACAAATGGTCGATGCTCAGATTCTTTACTGATTGGATCAGGCTGTGGCTAGGCCCTTCCCAGCACCTTATCTCTCTCTCTGAGCGCTCCTGGCTGGAGCCGGACTCCACATCCTCCGGGGTGATGGGGGCCCAGGGTACCATGCTGTTCCCCCCGACCAGGGGTGATGCTCCAGCATTCCGTCTGTACCCCACAGCCCCCTCTGGATAAGGCCCAGTGAACATGGGCCTGTGGAGTGGGGGACCCGGGCTGCGTTGAGTAATCTCACCATGGCAGAGGTTCAAAAAGAGAACAGCCCCTCCAGACATGCCAGACGCTATTGGTGCCAGATGTCAGAAGAAAGCAGCGCTTGCCACATAAAGCCCATTGCTGTGGAAAAGCCCGTGTCTTGGAGGAAAGGAGGGCAGCGAGCACTTTTGAAGTCTTGGGGGTGGGGCCGAGGGAACATGGCCTCTCTCCTCTCTGGAAGAGGGTGCAATTATGTGAAAGGTCATTGCCTGTTTGCTGAGAAAGCCCAGCTTGGTGAACCTGAGGGGGTTTGGCGCTGGGGGCAGAGGATGGCGTTGGAATTGGAGCCTCTTACTTGGAAAAGTAACTTTTCCTGCTGTCTGGGGTCTCCTGTGCGGGGTGCCCTTCCCCACTTTCTCGCCATCTCCTCACAGGCTCCCCCCACCCCCATATTGCGACCCCTCCATAGGAAGCGTTTCCACCGCTGACCCATTAGAGCCACGCTTTAGCTCTGCCGGGAATGCTAAACACAAAGAACCTTGACTAAACCCAGCTGTTTCACTTTATTTAGCCTTATCTCCTATGAAAGTATTTGGCTTGCCTTCATTAAAGAAGAAAAAAAAAAACTTAGCTCTAACCAAGGGGAATTAATTTTAAGAGAAAGGACAAAAACGAAATACAGCCATAACCCTGAGACACAATTAAATTTTTTAGAGAGACTGTGCCCCTCCCCTCGGGACTGTGACCCTCCCTCTGTGACTGGCCTTTATTGGTTGGAGATGACAGCTTGCAGGGACAAGTCTAATCTGATCGAGGGGTGTCCCTTACTGGGGACGGAGAAGGAAGAGACCTTCACTTCTTTTCCTAGGAAGGGGCCTGGGAAGGCAGCCGTTTCCTGAGAGAGGGTTTCCTGAGAGAGGCTGGCCTGAGAGCTGCGCATTTGAGGCCATACAATTAACCATCCTTAGAAGAAAGGAGGCCTGGGTGGGATAAAAGGAACCTTTAATCAACGGGCATAATAGAAGGGCCTTCATGTTTGACCGTGGGGGATGGTGCAGAGGAGGGAGGGGTGGCTGTCCCGTGGCTGAACCAGAGACCAGCTGAGGAGTTGGCACCTGGGAGCCAGAGGGCTGGACGATCAAGAGGTGTCAGCCTCCAAGCAGGCTGGAGTCTGCCTTCCTCAGGCTTCCACAGGTTCAGGGGGGCTCAGTCTGGGGTCTCCAAAGGAATCCCACCTCTTGGCTGCAGCAGCGGCAAATAAACTCCAGGCCTGCTTTGCCCTGCCCATCCCCATCCCCATTCTCAGTGAAAAGTGGGAGGAGGAAGCAGCTGTGCTTTGCAAAGTGCACTTCCCACAACGTGAGTGTCAGTGACGGCAGCAGCCTGGGCGGGAGGCCGCAGCCTCAGAGCCGTTTGTCGGGGAGCCGCCCAGGCTGCTGCTCGCTGGGTGCCCAGATTTCTTCCCAAGTGACGGGGCTGCCCATTTGTGCCCTTGGGCCAGCCCCGGGAGCCAGGGGGTCACCTCTGGCAGAAGGGCCAAGGTTTACCTGCACACCTGCTGTAGCAGAATCCTCGAGGTAGCACAGTCCTCAGTGTTGACGTACATTTCTCTTGTACAGAAGAAAGTGCAGTTTTACCAAAATGATTTTTGGGGTTTTTCTTTGAAGGTATTACTTCAAAAAAGCAAGCGACGAGTTTGCCTGTGGAGCGGTGTTTGAGGAGATCTGGGACGATGAGACAGTGCTCCCCATGTATGAAGGCAGGATTCTGGGGAAGGTGGAGAGGATCGATTGAGCCTCGCGGGCCTGGCTGTGGCCAGCGGTGGGGCCGGAGCCTGCACGAACGCTTGGGACGAGAGCGACCACCATGCAACATGTTGAAGGAAAAAAAAAAACCCAATGAAGACAAAGTCTAGGGAAGAATTGGCCACTGGGCCTTCGGGAGGGTGGGGGGAGGCTGGTTTTCATTATTCACGAGCTGGGTACTGAGATAAGAAAAGCCTGAACTATTTATTAAAAATATGACCACTCTTGGCTGTTGAAGATGCTGACTGTATCTGAGAGACCGCCATACATAATATATGACTTCCTAGGGATCTGAAATCCATAAACTAAGAGAAACTGTGTATAGCTTACCTGAACAGGAACCCTTACTGATATTTATTGAACACTTGCTTATCCCTGCCCCCAGTTTATGGATATGCTGCTTTAACCACGGAAGGGGGAGACAGGACGTTTTCATTGTTCTGTCTAAACTTAGGAGTTGAGCTCGGAGTGCATTAATGGTTTCTTCATTAAAAAAGGAATTATGCTCTGCCCTGCGTTTTCTCCAAGTGAAGATAGACTTTTTTTTTTTTTTTTAAACGGTGCCCTACCATTGACAACGCAGAAATTGGTGCATTTACTTTCTACGCTGCTGTATTTTGTCATAAAGGTCTTGAGGTTTGACTTACATTGCAACATTACCACCATTTTGAGGTCATCTTGTTGGATGGGCTGATCATTGCTGAGTAAGGGGGCGCCCCTTGGGGGTCCCAGATTCACTCTTGGCCCCACCAAGGCCCAGCACCCAGTGGCCAAGGCCGAGGCCTGCAACAACATTGTGGTTCAACCTGTGCTTTTATTGGAATAGCAATTTCTTGGAGTCGTCTTTTTTTTTTTTTTTTAGTTACTCTTGGGGCCACGGCCATTCTGGACACTGCCCCCCTGCTCTGCAAAGAAAGGAACGGTTGTGGGAAGACCCAGCAGCACCCTTTCTCCTCCAGACCCTTCATTTGACGTTCGGGTTTTTGTATTAAGTTAATCTGTACATTCTGTTTGCCCTTGTCACTTGTACTATACGTCTGTATATATTGTACGGCAAAAGAGTATTAATCCACTATCTCTAGTGCTTGACTTTAAATCAGTACAGTACCTGTACCTGCACGGTGTCCCCATCCGTGTGTCGCCCTATATTGAGGGCTCAAGCTTTCCCTTGTTTTTTGAAAGGGGTTTATGTATAAATATATTTTATGCCTTTTTATTACAAGTCTTGTACTCAATGACTTTTGCCATGGCATTTTGTTCTACTTATACTGTAAATTATGCATTATAAAGAGTTCATTTAAGGAAAATTACTTGGTACAATAATTATTGTAATTAAGAGATGTAGCCTTTATTAAAATTTTATATTTTTCAAAACACTGGCCTCGTCTTGGAATTCCCGGGGAGGGGGCAGGGCAAAGGCACCTTTGTGTATGGGAACATCTGTGCTTAATTTCCCACCTGCCCGAGCCCACCCCTTAACCGACCTCGAGCTCTTCTCCAGTCTGGGCCGGCCCTGCGGTTTTGAAACACTTTCATCACCTGGGTGCTGGCTGAGGATTCCTGTTGTGGACCAGACTAGGAAACGTTTCCTCTGCCGCCTCCCTGGTGCCATCTCCAGTCGGTGCCTTCCTCCCAAACAGGCGTCTTCAGTGGGGCCAGGTAAGTCCAGGTCATGAGGGGCACTTGGATTTCAGTAGGCGTCTCAGAGGCCAAGAGCCTCAGAAAAGAGTGTAGGTCTGGAACATCCGGGGTGCCAATGAACCTTGAGCTCAGTGCCAACCAGCCACCCTCCCAAAATGGCTGAGTAGGCCCACTGATAGCTTCAGTGAGGGCCTGGGCTGAGAAAGCGGCAGGTGGGTCAGGCAGGAGGCACAACGGCATTTTTTCACCATTCAGTGAGCACTTTGGTACATGGGGCCATGGAAGTCGGTGGGAAGTGAGTGTGACAAAGATGTGTGCCCTCTGTGCTGGGACACGCGCGGTGCCAGGCTGCGTTTCAAATTGGGGGGAGCAGGTGTTTTTAAAGGAGTCCTATGATGAAACATTTTTAGAATGGAGTGTCTGTGACAGCAGTTGAGCTTGACTTCTTGGGTACTGGGTGTTCGTGAGGCAGGGTCTGAAGCTGACTTCTCTCTAACTGCTGTGAACGAGCTTGAGGCTGACAGGGAGTCATGCCAGGACCGGGCTGTGGGGTCAGGGGCTGGCTTGACTGGGCAACCTCAGGGTGGCGGGGCGGCTGCTGAGCGCGTAAGTGAGAGTATGCGGGAGCCAGACACCAGGCTGGCCGCAAGGTTACTTGAACTTGGCCCTAATGGTGCACTTGCTGCATCCTTCCCCTCCTGGCTGCTGTAGGGGCTCACAGCGGGGTACCCAGACCTGGAAAGGCCCCTTCCAATTGGAAGGATGAAGAGATGTTACCTGCTGTGCGTGGTGGGGGGTGGGGGTATGTGGTTTTTAATCTTCAAGCCTTTTGATTTATCCAATGAATCAAATAAGTAGGTAAAACACAGGCTTGGGGCTCGGTCAGACCGGGGCTCAGTCAGACTTGGGCTCAGGTCCCAGTGCCACCCTCTTCTGGGGTCACCTGTGAGAGAGAGAGAGCTGGGCTGGTGATTGCTCGCATTTGTATCTCCTCCCGAGAGGGCCTGTTTTTCTGCTGCTCTCACCTTAACAATCAGGCGCCCTTCACCTGGCGTGGTGGCTTCTGGGATGCGGACCCTTGACACTGCAAACTCACCTGTGCCTTCTTTTGAGTAGAAGGCCTGTGACTCAAAAAAGCAAAAACATGGCTTGTGCTGTCCTTCCTTCCCTGTCCCCATGTCATTTAAGACCCAGCTTTTCAGAAGCCTGCCCCTCCCCTCTGCAGTCCCTCGGGTCTCACCTGGGAGCTGGGGAGACGCAGCTGCCCACCCCAGACCCACAGACTGGACAGGACCTGTGAGTTTCCAGGCCTCTTCTGGTGACCTGGGCACCTTGGGGTTGCACCCTGTAGGTCGTCCCCATTCTAAAGCCCAGCTTCAAATCAGATCCACCTACCTAGTTCTCATCTCCCAGGTGCCTCCACGAGCTCTGGTCTTGTTTTTCTGATTAACAGTTAGTTAACCAGCTAATTGGAGGTGAAGCGCCGACTGTGGGTCTGAGTCCACTTCAGGCTGTCTCTGGAAGCCACAGTTTGCTCATCTAGTAAGTGGGGACAAGAAATGTGCCTGGCTCCAGGGCTGGCTGTGATGGCGAAGGGACACGAGGTAGCTTAGCATCCCAGCAGGTCTCAGAACGCTTTCAGCGCCATCCTTCTTACTTGCATTGTTACTAGTTAGCTCCTCCCGTGGAAATTCCCCCTCCCCCTCCGGCTGCCACACCAGGGCTCTGGCCTCCTGCTTCTCGGGCCCCTGGTACAGAAGCAAGAAGGCGGTGGGCAATGCGCTGGCAGGCTGTGTGACTGGCAAGCAGAGACTTTCAGCGAGAGCTCAGCTTTGGCCCCGTAGCACCTTACGCTTTTCCTTATTAAGTCTGTGACCTTACGCAACACTTGGAAATTCTCGCCTAAGGTGACAGTTCACATGGAGGGTCTTGAAGTGTAGGGGTTTGGAAACAGGACCCTGCTTTACTGCCCCACCCCCACCCCAGGATGTGTTGGGACCATAATCACACTGTCAAAATGAAGGAAACTGTCAATTAACCCATAGAAAAGGGTCCAGTCTACTTGAATTATATGGTAAGATTTTTTTCTTCTTGTTGTTTTGGTGAAAAAAATGTTTCTCTTTTTTTAACCTTTAGTAAAGAATTTGGTTGTGCAGAAACTCCCCAAATAACATAGATTTTTTAAAAGTCATTTACGTGTTCCTTAGCAATCATTATTTTACTTCATCAAACAGGTTTTCTAAAAAGCTGGTATGAGCGTGAGCGTCCCCCAGGAAGTGAGAGGCTGTGGCTTGATTTAAACAAACAGAACACATACACACTAACACTACTGCCACGCACGAACAATTTTAAGGCACTTTGGTAAATGTTGGCTGTTACCAGAATTATCCAAGGGGGTAGCCAACCTCCTTGGTAGAGTCTCTGAGCCTAGAATTTTCACAGAACTTTAGGTCTGGTAGTTGAGGAAGCATGCGTGTATGTGTGCGTGTGTGCGCATGTTGGGAGGGTGGTGCTTGAGAAAGGATCTGGCACAGAAAGAACAGCCGTCCCCTGAACAGGGGGACCTCCACCATCCACAATGCGCAGTTCTGAAAACATAGATTCCCGTGCTCCACCCACACTGACCTTCTGGTTCCCAGAAAGTGCTCTGCAACTCAGGGCCTTTGCATATGCTGTTCCTGCAGCTGGGCCCAGCCCTTCCTGAGGTTGTCTCCTTTTCAGCCTCAGGTCTTGACTTAAATGTCAGAGGTCTTCCCTGCCCATCAGACCCTCATGTGTCCTCAACCCCCTTCATCATCACAGGACTTTCTTCATTCTTCCACTGCATGTACTAATTTTAACTATGCTATTACTTCATTGCCCACCCCTTCATCGTGAGGCAGGGAGTAAATATGTTTGTATTCACCATTGTGTGTGTGATACCCAGCATGGTGGCTGTCACCAAGCAAGCAGTCAATGTTTATAGAATTGAAGAAAGAAAAGAAAAATTGTCTACAGCAGTATTACCCAAGGTTAAGATATCCACTATTAACACTTTGCAGCATTCTTTCAGATTAAAATATGCGCACACACAGGACCATATAGTATACACTAGTTTGTAATCCACATTTTTTCACTCTAGCAGGTCAGTGGCATATTTTCACATCAATAAATATTTTTCTATAATCTACAACATGACTTAAATATATGGCTGAACTATCATTTATTTAACTAATTACTTACGGTTGCACATTTCTCTAGTTTCCAGATTCTGCAATTATAAGTTACATTGCAATGAAATCTTTATAGCTAAACACTCCCCTGGTATTCATAGCTAGAGAGCCTTTAATGATTAGGATGAAGGTTTTCCAGGTAGAATTTCTGGATCAAAGCCTGTCTTCCAGGTTTTGGCCACCTGCTGCCAGCCTGCCTGAGACGGTGGCTCACCCGTCTCTTGAGTCCCCAGTGCCTTGCACATGGTTGTCATCCAAGCCATGTTTGTGCCATCAA